ACATCTTAAAATTTAAATGTTCTTGTCTCATATATATAATTAAGGTAATTCCACTACTGTGTCACTGTACATCAAATGGATATAGAGAAGTGTTAAACTCATGACCAGCTAAACTCCTGAGTGTGACCTGAACCAGATTAAAATATGATTGGAAAGTGTTTAATAAATAAAAATATAATATAAACTAGATAATGGTGGTAGTTTTCTCAGTCATTGTGAGGCCCACAGGGATCTGTTTCCATTTGAATTTGATACCACTAGTCTAGAGGGTTATGTGTTGGGCTTGGGAATGAGGAAGTCCATGGTTCAAATCTCATCTCTGTCAGTTACTGTTTATGTGACTCTGGAAAATCACTTGATCTTTCAGTGCCTAGGGAAACTCTCTAGGATTTGTTAAACTGGTGAACTGCCTGAATTGATGAATGGAGTTCCCAGACCAGGTTATAAGTATAACCCTTATACTGATGAAATCACACATCCTTCATGGATTCATGTCAACGTATTTACGTTTGATTCACTGATATTGAAGTAAAAACTAAAGTGAATTTATGAGAATATGTAGAAGATTTACAATATTTATTTGAATCCTCAGCCTAATCTGTCTGATTGTAGCAGATATTTTCATATATTTGACAAATCTTTGCTTGATGGAACACAGCCTGTTTGTATCATTCTAATTCTGAAAACTCGTGATTGGAAAAAATGCATGGCATTACCTGATTGATGCATACTCAAATACTATATGACAGTACTTCATCATCCTCCCTTTAAATATATATATATCAATATTTTTTTTTAAAAAATAGGACTCCGTCACTTTCAAACAAATAATGACCTATTTCTTAAAAAAATGCTTAGTGGCTGTCAACCACAAGTGGGATTTTTTTTAAGTGTAACATTTAATTTGTGAAATTCCCAAGTTTATTTCTTCTACCACATTTCACCCTTTTTCTTGATGAGTACTGAAAAGGACATTTTGCCATTATGTGCCACAGGAACACATTGCCATCATACCCTCATCATTTCTTGCTAATGTTGGGGGAGGGGTGTGGAAGAAGAGGAAGGATTGAGAAGTCTGACACTGAGAACAATCTTTGACTCTAATGACCTTTCTATTCAAAATTATCTTATCCAATAGAGAAACAGGGTTTAATGATACACCTTATGAACATCATGATGATGATTAAACATTAAGTCCAGAGAGGCATCATCTGGTTAAAAACAGGCTGGTTACATGAATTCAGCTGAGTTTGGTTCAGTTTCTGAATTTACTCAACCTCCAGAGATTTCTTCTAAAATGTTGTCCATATGTTTTTCTTTCCTTGTTGCTGCTATGCCTATAACTTAGAGGTTTGTCCAGGTAATGAAGATATTTGTGTTATAACTATAAGGTCTACAGCATTGAGGGTGGGAGGGGAATAGAACAGAATTGGGAGTCAGGAGATCTGGCTTCTAGTCACAGCTAACCCTGTGACTTTCAGCAAGTCACTTCATTTCTCGGAGCCTCATTTTTGCTATCTGTAAAATGACAGTTGGATCAGATGATCTCTAGGATACATTCTAGTTCTGTGATTTCCTGATGAATGTCTCACTATTGGAATAACCGAATTGTTCTGAGGATTTCAGGCGGCGAACGTAGAACAAATGATTTTTTTTTTTTTCATAAAACCATGCTATAGATAACAGCTCAGATTCTTTCTTCTTTTTTCTTCCCCTTTGCCATTCTTTGAGTGTTTACAAGCACTCTACGGCCGTAAACAGAACTTCATCATAGGAGTTGTACCCTCGTTTTTCAGCACACATTGAGATCCTTGCCCACTCTTCTGTCTCCTAGGGAGAGAAGCAAGCTTTTCCTTTTTAAAATAGTGTACAGAAAGATCTTTTTTTTTTTTTGGTTGCAGTTTGCGTTTTCATTCCGTATGTAATTGCAGTGTTTGTGTGGGGGTGGACCGGGATGGGGAGGGGGTGAGCCCTTTTTGATGTGTTCCTTAGTTTTTCTTAAAGGCACATATAGAAATCTGCGCAGCGGGTATGTGGCATTGATTTAACCTACAGGCATGGGAGAGTTTAGTAGAGCATACAGCTACTTTTTTCAGTGGCTGTCAGTCCTGAAGCAGTCGTAAGAAACTGGAGGGCAAGGAGGTAGGTGGAGCTTTTTTGTTCCCTTCTCTTCTCTCTCCTGCGCACTCTCTCCCTCTCTCTCTCTCAGTCTCTCTCTCTCTCCCTCCCTCCCTCTCCCTCTCTCTCTCTCTCTCTCTTTCTCTCTCTCTCTCTCTCTCTCTCTCGCTCTCTCTCTCTCTCTCGCTCTCGCTCTTGCTCTCTCTGTCTCTGCATTCCTCAGAGTGGAATAAGCAGTCTGCTCGCAGCCTGTTAGAATCACCTGCTGTTTCTGTTTGGGGTGTACACAGTGAAGAGAACACGGAGAAGGAAAGAAAGCACTAGGTGCCATGGGTCAGCTCTGCTGCTTTCCTTTCTCGAGAGATGAGGAAAAAATCAGTAAGTGTGACTTGTATGTTTTCTGAGTGCTTGACTATTTCATGCTGTTGTCTGCTAAGCGAGTTCTTAGTGCCCCGGGGAAAGAGCAGAATCATCAACTATGGGTGTGTGTGTGTGTGTGTGTGTGTGTGTGTAGTACTTAAAAGGATTGGTTAGTGTGTAGTTAACGATTATCTGTAAGATCATGTTCGAGATGGGATATTAAAATAACTTATTTCTGGGTTCTCCCCACCCCCATCAGTTTTTGACAGCTTGTCTTTACTTTTAGAACTAGAGATGTTAATAGTCACAATTAGGTTTGACTTTCCTTAAAACGCTGAAAAATGATCATATGATACATAGTAGGAAATGGGCTATATTCTCTTATCTAGAACTAGCATATTTTCAGGGCAGGCTCAATGATAACATATAGTGAGTTAAAGCTGGATTTGAAAGGAAATATATTTGTATAGGTAGATATTATGAGCAGTCCTCTGCTTTGTTCTGTATATAAGTAATTCAGATAGGTAATCAGGTTATTTTGAACAAGCAATAAAATAGTTTGGGCTGAATCTCTGCTGGCTAAAAGCCTTTAACTGAATATTTTTAAATGAATGCCAAACGTATTCCACATCTGTTTTTGGCATGCACAGCAGACATAAGTAGAAATGATGACAAATGCACTGGAATTCTGCATTCATTGTCAGTGGTGTGTGTTCAGTCGTGTTTTAGCAAATTAGCTGGAATTCTGGTATTTTAATTAATTTACTGGATGCAGTATTTGCCATAAATTGGCTATTCATTGGAATATTACTTTTGCATGGTTTTCTAGTAACATGTTCCCAATCTTCCTTTCAAATATTCAGCCAAATTTTTGTCACCTTATTGGTAAATTCAGTTTCACTCAGGTCTTCAGAATTTTGCAGTATCTGATCCAAAGAATCAAGATTTCTACATCTGGTTTATATTTCCTGCTGTTTATTCCTCAGGAAACTGGCCAGGCTCATTCATATTAAAAATAATTAAGCTTACCCTTCATTTATTCATTTGCAAAGTAAAGGTTTTATTTTATATGTAAATTTATATAAGGCTTCAAAGTTAGCCACACAACATATTTTGAAGACAGCATGGACAGTAAAAACTGTGAGCGTTGATTGGAATTAAGAGGCAGTGTTGTGAATATTTACAAAATTGACAGTGTATGGTTTGTGATAGCCCTGTTTTCAGAACCTCACATGACCTTACAACAGGTCCATGTTATCACTTCACAACAAGCACCTTTGATGTCTCATTTGTGAAATAGGCAGTTCGTATTTTTAAACATTTCCCAAAATGGCTTGTACTTCCTGAACATTTTCAGTTTATTCTTATCGGCTCATATTTTGGTGAAAATCACCATCTGAAACAACTTTGCTCTGAACCGTTGGGAGGACAGAAGCCTTCCTCACTTGGTCCTCCCTGCAAACACACAGCCTCGGTTGCCTGTTTTGCCGCCTCTTCCTGACCCATTCCAAATGCACATTTATTCTGTTCTTTTTGAAAAGTCAGGTTTCAAAGCAAAGTGGTTTCTTATGGTTTTTACCCCTCCCTCTACCTCTGTGGATTCCCTTATGCCATTCCTGAGAGTCACGTCTCCTGTACTGTGTGAGGTATGTCCTCATTCATAAACGGCTGTCGAGATGTGGTGCATGCTGCATGTGAAGTCAGAATCTCATTTCTAAAAAAGACAGTGAAGGTATCTGAGGGAAAAGATCGCATCCAATCTGAGCAAATCATGGTCAGGATCAGTCATTGTTGAGGTTTCCCCTTTTCTGTCATTCATACTCTGTCTGATAGTGTTGTCATTGTTCTTCCACCTCTCCTGCTGTGTTTCTCCTCTTCTTGTTTGATTTTCTCTTTTTATTTTGGGGACTTTTCCCCCCTTATTGTATATATCTCTCCTAGTTGTCTTTAAACTTTTCTTGCATTTTGTTTGCTGCGAGGAGGGCTAAGGGTGTTTATGGTAAGGGCTCAGGTGGAGAGATGAGCCTCGTTGCTGTGCATGCAATGCATACTAAGAATGCTTTTAAAAAATCATCAGAAAATTCTTTGTATTCATTCATTTGAGAAATACTTATCCAGTACCCAGAAGGCACTGTTTGAAATTCTTTCAACATAATGCCATATACAGCATATATATCAGCTCTTTTGGGGTCACCAATCCTGTTTGATTTCAAAGGAAAAATGGCTAATTAAAGTTTAGGAGCCACAAGGACATTAAATATCAGAGAAGGAGATCAAGTACATCACATCATCCATCCATACATTCATTTTTTCATTCATCTATCCATACAATAAACATTTTTTAACTGTTTACTACAGTCAAGGAATATGTACTATGTAATACACATTGTTCATTTCCAGTTTGACTTGAATAAGGGAGTGGCCCTGGGACTGAGTGTAGAGGAACTAGAATTGTGGATGATTGATAGAAACATGTTGTCAGGGGAATGTTTGAATTTGTGGATATCATTCTCAAAATGCAGGTGAGTTGAGAAGCCCGAACTCAGCCGTACTACAGGGATACAGGAGCAATATAGCCCCATGGCAAAGTGGTAAGAGTTTAATAACTTTCTTTCCCTCACTTTTTCTTTTGATCCTCTTTTGCCTCTTGGTTGTGGTGATGATAGAAGCAATTTAAACTTCCTTTGCGTATTACTACTGTCTGTATTTATGCATTAAAAAAAATAATCCACAAGCAGTCAGATTTGAAAAAGAAACTCAGAATGGATGTATACCTACATAGATCCTCAAATCTTTAGGAAAGGCTAGATAGTCAAGTGTAAGGAGAAGGTGAAATAAACAGAATAGAATTTTGGAGTTAATTTAATTTCTAGTTAATTCACTTAATTAGAAGTTCTGTTTGTGTTTTGAAAAATTTTTCCACTTCCGTAGTAAGTCTAGTATGCAGAATGTAATTTGAATCTTCTCTGACAACTAATAATATTGTATTATCATTTTGGACATCAAAGATTCATGTGTGTAGTACTGTAGATGTAAAAGATATAAGAAATTCTGATAAATCTGTACTATGGGGTAAGTTGTAATTTTGAATAAATTCTTGATGTGAGCTTTTTTTCATTTATCTCTTACATTTAGAAGTAAGTGTGGCAAAAACAAAACAAAACTCCAGTTAATCAAGGATGTCTATATGTGTATTCCAGTTGATGGAAATTTTACTGTATAGGCTTAATTACTACTTAGTTCTTTTCATGGAGTAAACCACAGGATTTTTTAAAAAGCCCTCCTTGACTGGAGAACAAACATTCTACATGCTCTTTTCTTGCTACAAACTGGCCTCTATTATGAATGGAACCCTTTTACCTTAAATATATTAATTGAATATCTTTCACTAATTCTGAATGTAAAATATTATTGCATTTATATATTTTAATAAGTTAGGAATATTTTAGTACGTTATGGTAAATATGCTCATATGTAAGCCTTTTCTGTATGGTTGAGTTCATTCATTTCATAGGATGAGTCAGCAATCTCAGGATAGCCCTTTTTTGTTTGGGGACTTTGGTTGTCCCCATATCATTTACACAAATTAGGTTATGTTGGCCTTTTGTTGGGACATTTTTCCTTATTATGTACGTTGAGTACAAATGGTGATTGGTGTTCAGGAGAACCTAGGGTTAGGGTCTCAATAATATCCCATTTTTATATACTCCTGTATCCTACCTCCTCCCTGCCTCTATTTTGGGACAGGGAGAGAATCTAAGAATCACTTAGAGCTTACCATTTCATTTTAAAATGCCAGGTCCTTTCAGTGTTGGGCTACCACATTGCCAGATGCAGCCAGGAAATTCTCCGAAAGCCCAAGGCATTTTCTACCATGCCCTTAGAGTCTTTGGAAGTTCCTGGGGAACTCTGGGCACATGCTTCTTTGGATATAACCCTTATGCGCCAATTCAGGGTGTGAACCCAGGCCTCAAGTTTTATTTTGTTTTATTGTTCTGGGATTGAATAACCCATTTAGTGAAAATCCCTCCCTCTTCCTTTTTCCACTGAGAGAGATAAAGTTCATATTAGAGGCACTTCATACCTTCTTTCTTAGTCTTATAAGAGGGAAAGACATAAAAACACGCAACTGGAATATACAATATTACTTCTTTAACCTCACTGGTGGAGGTACTCTCTCCAAGAGTGCAGATCCCACCCATGCCGTTCAAAATGAGATCCTTGTCTGTGTTTTCCTAGAACTCCTCCCTAGGAATTTAGCAGACATGCTAAGGATAGTCCTCTAGTTCTCTTGACATGACATGGAAACCCCTGGAGCCTTTGAGCTTTCTTTGCATTAATTATTGTTCGTCTCATTCCATGGGTAGTTCCCCTGTTTTTCCAATTACACATTTTTCTGGTAATAGCTACTTTGGCTGTGTGGTTTTTTGGTTGGAAATTATGTACCTCTTATTCACTCACTGGATGAACTAAAACCTTTTTTTCCCCTGTTTGTGGTATTCTATGACTTGCAAATACATCTATAGCATCATTGGAAGAATATTGTTGTTTAAAAGGTAGACCTTTGTTTGATGGAAAAACTCAAGGTTGCCCAAAACTGAAACTTTTATGTATAAGGGAGGGAGAAATTGCTCCCTCACTTCATTGATATAGTCAAAAAATATACCCAAGATGATGAGTTGTGAATGTGTTAATAAAATGTTAACACCCAATTATCTCTTTTCCCATACAAACATCTTTCTTGTTGAGTAGGAAAGACCAACATCACTGATGGGCTTCAAAATAAAGCATATCCTTGAAGGATCTTAAAAAGCTAAATTACTAACTGTGCAGACATTTATAGCAAGAACCAGTAGTAAAGGAGGGACCTAGATCCTGAGAGAGAATTACTCTTACGGGATGCAAGGAATTTCTCTGTCCTCTTCCTGCGCACATCTGCCATGGCATCTAAGAGCACTGTAACTCACTGCCACTGACATCGCATCCAGCAGTTGAAGATGTTCATAAAAGTTTGAGGCACATTTGAGGGAGCATAGACACAAATACAGTCAGTCACTCAAACCAGAAGCAACAAGCAGTGTGACCATTGTCATCAGAGAAGAGAGCTGGCTGTAGACTCAAGAGAGGTTGATGGATGTGCTGAGGAGCAAAGTCAGCTCCTAGGCTAAGCAACCTGCTTGGCAGAGACACTGAGCCTAAGAGGGAACTTTGTCAGGATTCCATGAAAAGAGAAAGGACTCTTATAGTTTCAGAGCTTAGAGTTGTCTTGGCCACATATATTCCCTTGATGTATGTCTTGCTATCATTGTGCTCCAAGTTTGTGTCCACTTTTCCTGATGACACTGTTCGTATTTGGAGAGTGTGCCCTAGGTTTATGGAAGGGAAATATTTTGTAGCTCCTCAACTTAGTATGTCACTTTAGCAATGACTTTGCTATGAGCTATTTGTGTCTACTGGTGTTACTGTTCAAGGGAACCTGAAGGGGCATTCTGAATTGGTATAGAAGCAGTGGAAACCCATATGTTACTCCTAGAATCCAGAGTAGTAGCTTCCCTCTAGGAAACCCATTTCATCAATGGGAGTCCAAATTTGAGGAAGTAGCCTAGAGGAGCAGCTACATAAGCTACACTTGATATTCATATTCAAAGGATTGTTGAACAAAGCTGTTCATGTAGTTACATCTTTGTAACAAAAAGAAAGAATCATCCTTTTAAACAGTATAGTTACAATGAAACTGAATGTCTGCAAGTCCATAGTCCTTGAGGAATTAAAATTATGTGTCACTCAAAGAGTAATGGAGACATTCTTAGTGGGGTCAGCCAAGAATTCCCCAGGAGAAATGACATAAAGAATTGTCGTCAGATTCATGACCAGGAAAGAAGGTGCACCCATTATGTGGCAAAAGATAAGCCGTGTGCTTCCTTAATTTCTACACAACGTCAGAGAAATTAGGAGAAAGTCCCTGATGTGTTAGGTAGACCCTATGTCATGGATTTATAAAATTTGCATAAGAGCCACTCAGGATGAAAGGTCATTAATGGGCTGTTTTGTATATCTTTGTGTTGATGAGAACTCAGAACACAAAAGTAAGTATTGAATGTTTTTAAAGGAATCTTGAGTATAACACTTTTCTGGAGGAGAACCTTTAAGGCAAAATTTTGCTATCTAAAAATGATTTTCTTGTAATTAACAAAGAGTAAACACAGTGGGAACTTTTACTCTCCTGTAGTGGTCCCTAAACACTTTTGATGTGCACCCCCTACCAGTAATTATATATGTAATATATATTATATATGTAACATATGCTCTGGTGATGTAACACATCCATTCCAACCGATGAATCAGTTCCCCAGGGTGTAGTTATATTGTCCTCAGAGATCTAGGGGTTAGCCCTGACGGATTGGGGGAGGGGTGAGGCAGGACGGTGAGAGAGGTAGGAGGAAGTGATCTTTCCTAATGTTATAACTCATCATGATTGTTGGTTGATTTTCAATTAGTAATCCAGATTTAATTAGCTTTTAGAAAAGTATATTTACTAATGTGACATAATTTATACAATTGGTACAAACATTTCCCCTAAGAGTTTTGACACATTTTCCCACATAAAGAGTTTAGGGAAAAGTGGGTTCAAGCTTAGAAAGCACATATGGCAAAGGGGTAAGCTCACAGTTCCTGAAAGTCAGTCCTCAATATGTTCCCCTTAGGTACTGTGTTATTTGTTTATTTATGTTGGACTCTATTTGGAAACATACATCAGCCTTCCCTCATTGAATCCAGTCTGTTCTTGCTTCCTGATGCAGACACTGCCAATCACTGCTATCCCAGGGATGGTGCTAGGATGTCATTGAGAAGATGGGTAGCCCCAAAATCTCTAGACATTTTGAAGTTTGAAATGTATTCCTCTGTCCAAGGTGGGATAAAGGGGCAAAGAGGGGGTCAAAGAGGCAAAGTCTGAAGGATTTACCTCTAAGCAATTCCTTATCAGAGGCAGGTTTTTCTCTTCTCTACTGCCAGATGCTGGATCTCAAACCTAAATCTCCAGTTTCTAAATCATTGGTTTTACAAGTCCTATGGGGTGTGACCAAGTCCCTGAACCAATCCACTGGCTCATCAAAGACTAATCTGTTCATTAGAAAATATTTATAAAAATAGAAATTAAACAGGATGAGATAAAAGACAAATATTTTAATTGTTTTTATTAAGAATACAAAAACCCTTTTTGCTGTTAACTAAAAATATTTTATGTAATTGAATAGGATTTTTTTTTTAATCCCAGTGTATGTCCTGGGGAATAGGGAAGAGTTATAAATAATAATTTTGTTAGTAATTAATATCATCAATACAGGCAACTAGGCAGTGGCATGAATAGAGCTCTGGGCATGGAGTCAGGAAGATGGGGTTCAAATCCAACCCCAGACACTTGATAGCAAATTGACAATGATATAGGTATCTAAGCAGGTGGATTTCAATACAGTAACCTATGAGGCTTAGACCTTTAGGAGGAAAACAATGACTTGCATTCTATAAATAAAATGTGATGCTTCCTAATAAAATAACATGGAGAAATACTTTTAAAATCATTCATAGAAAA